AGACAGAAAGCAAGAAATCACCCCCTAGAGGGGGATGGCCACGCCGCAATCCTTTCTCCTCCATTCTCCTCTCGGGATCCTGGGCACGCACGCACACGCGCCCGGCGTGAGTTTTAAGCCACCGGGTCCAGGATGTGAACCGCGGTCGACTGTGGGAGTCCAGCGACATAGCCATTATGCTAACTGCTGGTCCCCCGTGACATGCTTTTCAAGCCACTGGTTCTGGGACTCAATATGCAGTCGGCCATGTGGATTTCAGCACCTTAACCTCCACGTCACCTGCTGGTCCAATTTCCTTTCTTTCTTTAGAAATGCAGTTCTTGGGGCTGGCAGGTAGAGTGGTAGTGAAGGGCGCTGGACTCCCACATAGCCTACCACGGTTCAAGTCCTGAACCTGACTGCATGCTCTCTCACTTTGTCTTTTTCTCTCTCCTTCCCTCACTCTGTCCCTCTCTGGTCCAATTTAAATAAATAAATAAAGTTTTTAAAAAGTTATTTTTTTAAAAAAAGAAATGTAGGGTTTTTTAAAGAATATGTTAACTTGGGACCAGCAGTTAGCATAATGGCTATTGTCGTGGGACCCCCATGTAGTCGACTGCAGTTCGAGTCTGGGCCCAGTGGCTTAAACTCAGGCCAGATGCGTGTGCATGTGTGCCCAAGATCCCAAGAGGAGAATGGAGGAGAAGAGATTGCGGTGTGGCCATCCCCCTGGGGGGTGATTTCTCGCTTTCTATCTCTCTGTCTCTGTCTTTCTGGCAATTGCAAGCACCCCGTAGCTAAAACCTCTCAGAAAAAAAATAATAATAAATGAAAAAAAAGAATTATTTTAACTTTATTTATTTATTCATTCATTCATACATACATACATACATACATACCAGAGAGAGAGGAAGTGAAAAAGCAAGCCACCACCACTTACCGACCAAGAAATGTAGTTCTTGTAGTTCTTCCTGGGTGGGTTTGTCATGTGTTACATTAGCTTATTATGCTGGAGCTCAGGTGGCGCAATCGGTTAGCGCGCGGTACTTATACAGCAGTACATTAGCTTATTATGTTGATGCATCTTTTTCTATGTACAGGGAATCACCTGGTCAAACCCAGTCTGATCTCTTGGCTGGAAGAAGAAGAAAAGTTGAGTACTGTGCAGAGAGAAGTTTTTCAAGGTACGTGTTTCTTCTGAATAATGAACTTCCTCAATGAGAAACTTAGTATCTTGTGGAGCAGCAGTTGGCGTGGTGGTTAAGGCACTGGACACTCCCAATGGTCAACCAGGATTCGAGTCCTGTCTCATTTCTAATTTCTAGCTAACTACCTATCACAGTCTGGGTCAATCCGTGGGCATAAGCCAGAGTGACTAGGAGGAGGATGGAGGCAGAGTGTTCCCCATCCCCCAATCAAGAAACAGGAAGTTTAGGAAGGTAACAAGAATAGAAGGTCAGAGAACCCGAGAACGGGGCAGCATCATGGTAGCCAGTGACGATGGGGAGGATCAACATTACCAGCCAGGATCCCACGTGGGTGAATATTCTTGATGACACCTGGGTTGCCTGGTTAACAGTGGTGTGCTCCTGACTGTTGTGGCCCCAAAGAGCACAGTGACAACTGAGGATAGGAGGAACCCAATTACAGGCAGTTAGAAAGAAAACAGCAATGGGACCAGCAGGTGGCGTGATGGTTAAGGTGCTGGACACTCCCACATGGCTGACCAGGGTTCAAGTCCCGAATCTGGTGGCTTGCTTTCTCACTTCCTCTCTCTCTCATTCTCATCCTCTGTCTCTCTCTGCTCAAACTAAAAAATAAATGAATGAATAAATAAAATAAATAATTATTAAAAAAAGAAAGAAAGAAATTTAGTATCTTTACAAAGATAAAGAAGAACCTTTTTATTAGGATATCAGGCAAGTCATGATTTTTTTTAATGTTTTTCTATGCTAAAATGCATCATGACTTTCCAGACAACCCAATAATATCATAGAGACAACAAGAGAGTAGTGCAGGGGTAATGTACCTGTACCCCACAAGGGAAGGTGCCCATTTGTCTTTTGAAACCTCCCTGAATATCCTGGGCATGTGCCTGCCCAGGATCCAGTCTGGCTTGAGGTCAGGGTGGACTGTGTCATGGAGACCCTATTGTGAATACTTCTTTCTCTCTCTCTCTTTCTTTCCCTGATGGAGAATATAAATGCTTTTTTTTTTTTTTTAATTGGACTTAGAAGTTTTAGAGTATCTTGAAATTCCTATAATGCTTTACTCTCACTCTACCAAGACTTTCTTCTGATCTCACAGATGACCTAATCTCTCATTCTTTTAGTTTGCAGTTTTGTTTTGTTAAAGAATTGTTTAAATTCATTTATTTTAATTTGACCAGAGAGAAAGAGAGAGAGAAAGTGAGAAAACAAGGGACCAGCAGTTAGCGTAATGGCTATATCGCTGAACTTCCATGTAGTCAACTGCGGTTCTAGTCCCGGACCCAGTGACTTAAACTCACACCGTGCGCGTGTGCATGCGTGCCCAAGATCCCGAGAGGAGAATGGAGGAGAAGGGATTGTGGCATGGCCATCCCCCTCTAGGGGGTGATTTCTTGCTTTTTGTTTCTCTGTCTCTCTCTGTCTTTCTGGCAAGCACACGTGCCCTATAGCAAAAACCTCTCCAAAAGAAAGAGAAAAAAAAAAAAAAAGAAAGTGAGAAAACAAACCACCAGGTCTGGGACTCAAACCACAGTCAGCCATGCGGGGGGTCAGCACCCTTAACCACTAACCATCTGCCAGTCCCCAAGTTTGCAGGATTTTTGTTTTTGTTTTTGTTTTGAGTTTGCAGTTTTAATGATGCTTTGTCCAGATCTTTCCTACTTTGCTTTCCTGATAATATATTGGGTCATTGGAAAAGTCATGACACATTTTTTGCATAGGAAAATAAAAAATAAAAACTCACGACTTTTCTGACAACCCCGTATTTCTGTTCACCATAAGGTGAACCCAGAACCTTCCCATGTGTTGTACTACAGTTCCACCTGTGGCTCCTAAATTTAATTTTCTCAGGAAAAATTGTTTTAAAAAATTACAAAAGTTTTGACAAAAGTTCTTAAGATTGCCAAACATTATACATGGCCAAACTTCTGAAATGTGTATTTGTTGTATTATTTGAAGCAGCTTAATATGAAAATAAGTACAAATAAGCTTTATAACTTTTAACTAAAGGTTCTGTTCTGCAATCCCTTACTTTTTCTTTTCTGTCTTACTTCAGAATGGCATCTTAAAACCATTGGGTCATCACTTCAACAGGACATTTTTTGGTTAAAAACATTAAATGGAATACAAACGGTAAGGTAAACTAGGGAGACTTCTTACACTCAGAAATTGGGAAATTGGGAATTCCTTTTTTCTTTTTTTTTTTTTTTTTTTTTTGAGAGAGAGAGGTTTTTGCTACGGGGCGCTTGCACTCACCAGAAAGACAGAGACAGAAAGGGAGAAATCACCCCCCAGGGGGATGGCCACGCTGCAGCCCCTTCTCCTCCATTCTCCTCTCGGGATCTTGGGCACGCACGCAAACGCGCCCGGCATGAGTTTTAAGCCACCGAGTCTGGGACTCGAACTGCAGTTGACTACATGGGATTCCAGCGACATAGCCATTACACTAACTGCTGGTCCCTTTTTTTTTTTCCCAAAGAATTATTTATTTAATCTTAATTATTATTTTTTTATTTGACCAGAGAGAGAGGGGGAAAGTAAAAAAGCAAGCCACCAGGTCCAGGACTTGAACTGTAATCAGCCATATGGGAGTCCAGCACCCTTAACCACCACACCACCTACCAGCCCAGGAATTCCATTATAAGAAAACACAGGGCCAGCCTATGGTGTGGTAGTTAAAGTAGGTTGATCCTATATAGCTGACTACATGGTTCGAGTCCCGGACCCAGTGGCTTGAGAAACATGCCGGGCAGATGTGTGTGCATAATCAAAACCCCAAAAGGAAGGAGAAAGGGAGAAGGGATTATGGCATGACTATGTCCCATAAGAGATGCATTCTCATTTCCTCCTTCCTCTCCCAGCAAGTAAGTACACATGCCCTCTGGCAAAACTTTAAAAACAAACTAACAAACAAAAATGGGGCAGTAGATGGCATAATGGTTACATTGCTGGACTCCCACATGGCCAACCAGTTTAAGTCCTGGACCTGGAGACTTGAAACTCACATTGAGTGTATGTGTGAGTGTTTCCAAAATCCCGAGAAGAGGGGAGATTGCGGTGGGCCATCCCCCTTGGGTGAGGACTTCTCACTTTCTATCTCTCTCTGGCTAGCACATGTACTCTATACCAACAATTGCCCTTAAAAAAAACAAACAAGAGGGCTGGCAGGTGGCGTGGTTAAGGGTATCTGGACTCCCACATGGCTGACTGTGGTTTCAGTCCTGGACCTGACAGCTTACTCTCTCACTTTCCCTCCCTCCCTCTCTCTCTCTCTCCCTCTCTCCCCCTCTCCGCCCTCTCTCCCCCTCTCCCTCTCTCCTTCTCTCCTTCTCTCCCTCTCTCCCTCTCCCTCTCCCTCTCCCTCTCCCTCTCCCCCTCCCTCCCTCTCTGATCATTAAAATGGATGGATAAATAAAGTTAAATAAAAAATAATTCTTTAAAACAAATAAACAAGAACTCAGCACAAATGAGAAATACAGTAGAGAAGTACCATTCACTATGCATAATGCCTCCAAAGGGGTCGTCTCACTAAACAAATTCAAAGATATCCTAATTTTAGCCAGAAACTTGGTGTTTCGTAATTCTGACAAGCACACTTTAACTTCTTTAGTAAATTGGTGTTTAGATTTTTTTTTTAACTTTTTATTATTTTTTATTATTATTTTTAGCTTTGCTATAGGGCACATTATGTGCTCACCAGAGAGAGACAGACATAGAGATGGGGAAAGTGAGAAAGAGCGTCCCCAGATCTGGGACTCTAATCCTGGTCATCCGTGCAGGAATCCAGCACCTTAACCACCACACTATCTGCTCATCCAGTATTTAAAGTTTTTTGTTTGTTTGTTTGTTTTTTAGAGGTTTTGACTAGAGGGCACATGCACAGAAAGACAGAGACAGACAGACAGAAAGTAAGAAATTACCCCCTAGGGGGATGGCTATACCACAATCCCTTCTCCATTCTCCTCTCGGGATCTTGGACACACACACACATGTGCCTGGTGTGAGTTTAAGCTACTGGGTCCAGCACTTGAGCCATGGTTTACTACATGGGAGTACAGCAACATAACCATTACGCCAACTGCTTGTCCCGAGTATTTAAAGTTTTTTAATTTCTTGAAAATATTCAGGAATCCTTAAAGTTAGAGCAGATGGCACAGAATTCTCGTAGTAGGCTTCCTTCATTCAACTTGAAAGAAATGCACAGGGCAGGAACAGTATGCATGTTATGTTTTATTTATTAATTTGCTACACAACATGTGTGCTGGCCAGGGGGTGAGAGAGAGAAAATGAGAAATCACCCCAACTGCAGGAGGGATGGTCATACTGCAATCCCAATCCCTTTTCTTCCATTTTCCACTGGTGATTTTGGATGCGTGTATGTGCATGCGCATGCACACACACACACACACACACACACAGTGTGTTTTTCAAGCTTTTGGGTCAAAGACCTGAACCACACAGCCAGCCATGTGGAATCCAGCCACCTTAACCACCATGCCACTGACTGGCCCAGTATATGTGTTATGGTAATGAAAAAAGTAATGATCATTGTTTCTTTCTAAAGATGGATAACATTCTGGGACCAGCAGCTGGCATAATGGCTATGTCTTTGGACTCCCATGTAATTGACTGTGGTTTGAGTCCCAGACCTGGTGGCTTAAATTCACACTGGGCGCATGCACGTGCACGCCCAAGATCTCAAGAATAGAATGGAGGAGAAGGGATTTTAGTGAGCCCCCCCATCCCAGGGGAGGATTTCTCACTTTCTGTCTCTCTGGCGAGTGTATGCACTCTATAGCAAAAACCTCTCCAAAAAAAAGATGGATAATGCTTATTAATAAGTCTGAAAACCTTTTAATCATCAATCATTCCTTCATCAACAGGCAGGAAACCACACTGGAGGGGAACTCTGTAACTGTGAGCAATGTGGAGACATCTTCAGTGAACTCTCCTGCCTTAGGGCACACACAAGCACTCAGAATACAGAGAGCACTTATGAGTGTAATCAGTATGGAGAAAACTTTTTTACTCTGCGCAAGAAACCATCTCCTGAAGAGAAACTGTGTGTATTGAATGAGTGTGAAAAACCCTTTAGCCTAACTCCAAAAACGGTTTACCAGAGAACGTACATGCAAGACACACCCTTTGAGTGCGGTGACTATGGGAAAGACTGCCTTAATCAGTCATCATTTCAAGCACACATGAGAAGTCATAGTGGAGAAAGACTCCCTGAGTGGAAGGAATGTGAGACAGCTTTTGATCACTCCACAAGCTGGGCTGTACCTGTTCAGATGTACACCCTAGAAAAACCCTATGAAAATAAGGAATGTGGAAAAGTCTTTAAATACTCGACTTACGGAAATATTCATATGCAAACTCACAGTGGGGAAAAACCCTATGAATGTAAGGAATGTGGGAAATGCTTTACCGCTTCATCAAGCCTAACTGAACATAAAAGAATTCATACTGGAGAGAAACCTTATGAATGTAAACACTGTGGAAAAGCCTTCACTGGGCGCTCAGGTCTTGCTAAACATGTACGAATACACACTGGAGAAAAGCCCTATGTATGTAAGGAATGTGGGAAAGCCTACAGTTGGCTTTATCTACTAAGTGAACATTTAACAATACATACAGGAGAGAAGCCCTTCGAATGTAAGGTATGTGGAAAGTCCTTTAGAAAGTCTTCATGCCTTAATGATCACTTTCGGATTCACACTGGAATAAAACCTTATAAATGTACAGACTGTGGGAAAGCCTTTTCTGTTTCCTCACGCCTACGTAATCACGTCAGAACTCACACTGGAGAGAAACCCTATGAATGTAAGGAGTGTGGGAAAGCCTTCAGTACATCCTCAGGTCTTATCCAGCATATACGAACTCACACCGGAGAGAAACCCTTTATATGTACAGAGTGTGGGAAAGACTTCCGCGCTTCCTCGCGCCTTATTGAACACATAAGCACTCACACTGGAGAGAAACCATATATATGTAAGGAATGTGGGAAAGCCTTCCGTGCTTCCTCACACCTACATCATCACATGCGAATCCACACTGGAGAGAAACCCTTTCAATGTAAAGAATGTGGGAAAGCCTTCAACCATGCTCGTTCACTTCAAAGACATGAAAGAATTCACATTGTGACAATGTCCCATGAATTTAAAGAATGTGGGAGAGTCATTTCAATTTGATCACAATCCAGTAAGAACTACCACGGAGTCATACAATGTAAGAAACCTAGAAAGCCTTTATTAGTTTCTTGGGTCTTAATAAATATGAGGATCTTGCAATAGAGAAGAACTCTATCAATGTAGCACATTTTATAGAATTCTGCTAAATATGTCAGTGTTCACTTGTGTTCTCACAGTGAAAAAAAAAAAATGAAGGTGAGGAATGTTGGAAAGTCCTAAGTTCTACAGTACATTTCACAATTTTTAATAAACATAAAATGGTTCATAATCAGTAGAAGCTGTGCACGTATGGAATATGGGAATTAGCTTTCCTGTGACCTGAAATCTTGTATACTGATGGAGATACAGCTTTCTGGATGATTCTACAGGTTTACTGTGAACACTTGTGATTCTGCCTTGGTCATTTCTTTCCCCTATAGTAGTGCCACTGCAATCTAGCTACAAACAGTCTAGGTTGCAGACTGGTCAGAAATGGGCTTTCAGAATTCATACTTAAACCTTTTTCTCTTTCTTTCTTTAAGGTTTTTGCCATAGAGTGAGTGCTAGAGAGAGAGGGAGAGCGAGAAGTCACTGCCGAGAGGCTGGCCAAGCTGTAATCCCTTCTCTACTCTCAAGATTTGGGGCACACATGCCTCGTGTGGCTTTTCAAGCCACCAGGTCAGGGATTTGAACAGCAGTTGGTCATATGGTAATCTGTTGCCCTCACCACCATGCCATCTGCTGGCCCATATTTAAGCCTGTTCCAGAAGTGAAGTTTCTCAGGTTGGTTTGTCATTCTCTTAGACATAATCTACCTAGAGTAGCCACACTGACAAGGGGGGGGGGGCGTATAATACAGCTCTAAGTGTTGTTAACAATGTTTGTATTCTTCTAACAACAAATATATTTTCAGATAACAGGTCAGGGTAAAAGAGGTGGGAGAATGGACAAAGCGTGACATCATAGCTAGGTGTATGAGATACTGTGGCTTCACAACCATAGATGGAGAATCATACCCCATACCTGGGGAAAGTGAGAATTCTTGTTATATTAGGCATTGCAGAAGTGGGGTGAGAAATCTACCATTTCTCTTTGGGCTCTAGATGTACTCCCCAGCTTGGCAAAGCAATCATACCACATACCAGAGGAAATCAACCGCTGCAGCAGGTGATATAACAGATGTTCTGGGTTTGTCATTCTCTGGGTGTTACTTTTAAAACAAAAGCATTTGTCAGGACCAGCTGTGTTGCTGGAAACCCATGTGGTCAATCACGGTTCGAGTCCCGGACCCAGTGGCTTAAACTCACGCTGGGTGCATATGTGTGTGTACCCAAGACCCCAAGAGGAAGATGGAGGAGAAGGGATTGTGTCATGACCATCCCGCCAGGGGGTGATTTCTTGCATTCTGTCTCTGTGTCTGTCTCTGCCTTTCTGGCAAGTGCATGTGCCTTATAGCAAAACCCTCTCAAAACAAACATTTGTGAACGTGTCTGGTCAAAATAACAAGTATTAGCAAAAATTTAGAGGAAGTGAAACCACTGTATATTTTCTGGTGAGAATATGACATGGCGCAGCCCCCTTGCAAAAAAGCCTCAAAATCTCATTGTTCATCAAAATGTTAAACATGTACACTAGTTACTAACTGACCCAGCAATTCCACTCATCAATGTATACCCAGGAGAAATAAAAACATGTAGACACAAAAAGCTGTAGACACCAGGGCCAGCAGGTGGCATGGTGGCTAAGGGCGCTGGACTCCCACATGGCTGACCATGGTTTGAGTCTTGGGCCTGGAAGCTAGCTTTCTCGCAACCCGCCCCCCACGCGCTCTCTCTCTCTCTCTGGGCAAATTTAAATAAATTTAAAGCCATAAAAAATAAGTAAAAAGGTGTAGACGTCAGGGGGCAGCAGAAATTTACCAGTCTTCCCCTAAGAAATTTATCAATCTTCACCAAAAAATGCGCACACTGAACCTCTCCGTGCCCCACTCAGCGAATGCCGCCCGATGGCAGTTGGGTGAGGAGGACGCCGGCGCCCATACAGGGCAGAGAGGTCACCTGGAGGCTTTAAGGACAGCGCACGGTCCCCGGAGGAAAAGGCCCGCTTCTCCCGAGGCCCACAACCCACCACCCGGACTGGCCCCTTGGAGGCAGCGGCCCAAGCACGAACGCGAACCTGGGCAGGCCCTCGACGCTGACCCAAGCAACACACAGGAGAAAGCGCGGTCGGGCCCCTACACCTCCGCTTCCGGCTTCCGCAGCGTGATTAGCATAAGGGGCGGGGCCTCAGAGCCTGCCGGAGGCGGAGTTGTGGGTGGGCGTTGCCGGCTGCAGCTACTTCTGACCCAGACCTGAGTTTCCTGCTTTGCTCCCGCGTGCAGGAGGGACCTCAGCCCAAACCTGGCAGTCGGTATGTGTCACATTCATTGTCTTTCTCACCTGTGCAATTTGCAACTTTTTTTCTTTTTTTGTAGTTTCTGCTACAGGGTGCGTGCGTTGGCCAGAGAGACCCAGAGAGAGAGAGACAGTGAGAAACCATCCCTTAAGTAGGGATGGCCGTGCTGCCATCCCTTCTCCAGTCTCCTCTTGGGATTTGGGGCACGAACACACACGTGCCCCAAATGATATTCGAGCTGCCAAATCCAGGAATCAAACCGTGGTGGGCCCTGTGGAAGTTCACTGTCTTAACTACATCACCTGCTGGCCCCCATAAGGTTTTTGGTTTGGAGGGGTTTGTTTGTTTGTTTAGAAGTTTTTACTATAGGGCACGTGGGCTCGCCAGAAAGACAGAGAGACAGAGACTGAAAGAGAAATCACTCGCCCGGGGGGACGGCCACACCACAATCTCTTCTCCTCCATTCTCCTCTCGGGATCTTGGGCACGCACACACACGTGCCCGGCGTGAGTTTAAGCCACAGGGCCGAAACTCCAACCATGGTCGTCCACGTGGGAGTCCAATGAAATAGCCATTACCGCTAACTGCTGGTCCCTTTATTTATTTATTTATTTATTTATTTATTTATTTTATTTTTATTTTGACTAGAGAAGGACAGACGAAGAGGGAGGGGGAGAGAGAAAGAAAGTGAGAAAGCAAGCCACCAGGTCCAAGTCTCATGGTGGACCAGTGCCCTTAAACATCACACCACCTGCCAGCTCCAAGGTGGTTGTTGTTTTGTGTTTTTTTTAAATAAATTATTGGGACCAGCAGTTGGCGTTATGGCTATGTTGCCGGACCCAGTGACTTTAGCTCACACCGGGCACGTGTGCGTGCGTGCCCGAGATCCTGAGAGAATGGAGGAGAAGGGATTGCGGCATGGCCATCCCCCCGGGAAGTGACTTCTCGCTTTCTGTCTCTCTGTCTCTCTCTCTTTATGATGAGTGCATGTGCCCTATGCTAAAAGCTTCTCAAAAAAAAAAAAAAAAAGTCATGATATATTAAAAGAAAGAAAGAAAATCAGGCAGGGTACATGTGTATATGCGTGCGTGTCCAAAATCCCAAGAGGAGAAGGAATTGTAGAATGGCCATCCCCCCAGGGGATGATTTCTTACTTTCCCTCTCTCTGTCTCTCTCTGTCTCTTCATAGCAAGCGCACAGCCCTATGGCAGAAATCTAAAAACAAAACAATAAGTTGACTGGCTCCCACATGGCTGACTGCAGAGTTCAATTCTCAGACCTAGAGGCTTGAAGCTTATTGCCAGGTATGTGTGTATGCATGCTCAAAACCCCAAGGAGACGGGAAAAGGAGGGACATGCCGGGATTTAAATCACAGATGTAAGTTATTGTACAGCTGGTACAGTAGATCCTCAATTATGAGATTTTTTTTCCACATCTATTCTTTATTTTAAAGAATTATTTATGTGATTTTATTATTATCATTTTTCAATTTGACCAGAGAGAGAGACAAAAAGAGGGAAAGTGAAAAAGTAAGACATCAGGTCCAGGACTTGAACCATGGTCGACCATGTGGGAGTCCAGCCCCTCAACCTCCACACCACCTGCCCCCACATTTATTTTGTACAGAGAGTGAAGTATGCAAATATTGCCCATTTTCGTTCATTCTTGTGTAATGAAAATATCATTTGCTTGACAAATCAGGTGCTGTGCTGCCATCTGCTGGAATCCAATAATATTGCACCCTCTCTAGCAGTTGCCTTTGAAACAGCCTTCAAACCATCTTGTTTGTTTTGTTTTAAAAGCGGTTTGGGGGACCAGCAGATGGCGTAGCAGTTACATCACTGGACTCCCATATGACCAAAATCTTCTTTTTTTTCAAAGAGTTTTTTTTTTTTTTTTTTTTGGAGAGATTTTCACTGTAGGGCGCGTGCGCTCGCCAGACAGACAGAGAGAGACATAGAGACAGAAAGCGAGAAATCACCCCCCAGGGGGGATGGCCACACCACAATCCCTTCTTCCTCCATTCTCCTCTCGGGATCTTGGGCACACACGCACACGTGCCCGGCGTGAGTTTTAAGCCACCGGGTCCAGGACACGAACCGCGGTCGACTACGTGGGAGTCCAGCGACATAGCCATTACGCCAACTGCTGGTTCCCATCAAAGAGATTTTTCATGGGTGTTGGTTAAGCGACTGGACTCCCACATGACTGACCACGGTTGAGGTCCTAGACCTGGTGGCTTGCTTTCTCACTTTCCCTTTCTCTCTCTGTTACTCTCTGTTCAAGTTGAAAATAATAACAAATAGGGGACCAGAAGTTGGTATAATGGCTGTCGCTGGACTCCCATGTAGTCAACTGCGATTTGAGTCCCAGAACCAGTGGTTTAAGCTCACGCCAGGTGCATGTGCATGTGTGCCCAAGATCCAGCGA